CCCTGCCTTGCCCTCACCAGTATCCAGAGCTATTCATAAAGTCACTGTAGGCAAACCCCAAGTTGGATCTCTGAGTGGAACTGCTGAATTTGGAAAGTTTGAGGTTGCACTTACCTTAAATGTTTGTTTTACATGACTTCGAGTTTCTCTCCGGTGCCTGGGGAGTCTTGTGGGAACATGAACCCCTCGTTAGACCGAGGAATTTCGGTTACCAGTGAGAGGTCGGTGAAGAGAGCGGCTGAGAGCAGCGATCTTCCCATCCAGCTGCGACTCCTTCGCCACCTGCGCTAGGGACGCACGGGACGCGCTTCCCCGCTCCGCTGCTGAGAGCGCCCTTCGTTTTGTCATCTTTCCATCGTGCTGGGAAAGGGGGGCAGGTACTGAATGAGCCTGGAACAGGAATGTATCTCTGCTCAAGGATTTCTTCCTTAAACAGCAATGGTAACAGTTAATGATACTAAATCTTACTGATACAGGATTTGTCCAAGTGATAACGGCAAGTTCCTTTTGCCTCAACTTCCTTCCTTGACAGAGTTGGGCTGTGGGCTGTGAGGGGTGATTTGGTGCTGGGAGAACATGGAGCGAGCGGTGGCTGCAGCAGGAGCAGGCAGGACAGCGCTGGGTGCTTGCACAGCGTCATCCGTGTTCTGTCCCTTTTAAAGATCACGGAAAAGTAATTTGGTTCTTTTTCTAAAACATTTTTGTTAGACTAATCCAGGTACATGGATTTTGCCTGTGCAGATTTTATTTTCACTTTCTTTATTTACCATTTTAGACATGCAGTGTCTTTGAGAGTATTTGTGAATACGCGTAGCTACTGTTTTCTTTTTTTTGAAATAAGATAAAATGTGCACTGGATATTAATACGCTTTATCTTAATTTTTAAATTGCTTGAATTTTCTGTAATGTATGTGGTTAGCTTTTTTTATACTCGTTGAAGTAACAAGGAAGGGCAAAGAGCATGACAAAAACAACAAATTTATTTATGCAAACTGCAGGTGCGATGCCAGTAGGTACAAAAGAGTTTGATGGGTGCAGTTTAGCATCACTTTCTGAAGTGATGCCCTTTGCAGTGTTTCTGGGTTGGCTGCGCCTGTGAAGAGCTTTGCAGCTTGTGAACGGCCCTCGAGTCCCCTCTGCTCGCCTGCACCAGGTCACTTGACACGGGCAGCCCGTGGTGCGCGGCAAGGCTGGGCTCGGCCGTCTCTCCGTACATACGCGCTGTGTTTGTGTCTCCGGACACGCTGCTGCTCCTGCTGGTCGCCGGGGGCTCCGTACGAATGACCATGAAGGCGTGAATCTTTATTCCTAGTCGTCTTTCTCCCTCGT